AGGGAGTGCCCTGGTTGGGAATAAATATCAGTTAATAGCGTTTTCGAACTTAATAGTAAAGGACTTACAATAAGTGAATTCTTTGGAAGGTAAGGTTGGGAGATCCGCACTCGACTGAAAGATGGAAGTCGTTGCCCACTGCTGAATATCCCAGAACTGGGGCCTATTTCCTAATAATTCTTTCTGGCATTCGTCCAGGATTGCTGAATGGGCGGAGGCGGAAACGACGTCATGGTGGCTTTGTGTTTCTCGTCTTCTCTACCGCCTTAGAAGAAAAAGTGCTTGCCGAAAATGTCGGCTCCGCCCATCCAGCAATCCTGGAAGATGTCCATGAATAAGGAATCCGAAACCTACATATTGCATGAGTGGTTTCGTTGCAGGTGATAGTACTGGCACTGGATGTGGTCCGGCTGACGGTGAATCGACTAAAATCCCACATAGAAGCTCACTTGCAGGTATGTTCACCTTTTACCCCTCCTTTTCCATTCCTAACTGTCACTTTTCAAGCGACTTCTCGACGACGAAACTCTATCTCTTTCAGCAAGTGGTCTCACTCCTCGCTCAACACTTCGGCAATCAAAAAGCTGTGATCAAGCAGTTGATCATGATGACTTGCATGGACCTCTTCCAAAATATCAACCCAAAAGCTGTCGTTGGAGCTCTTTGCGTCTACCTCGAAAATCGGAATTCACGAGTCAGAGAAGAGGTACGAACAACTCCATTTATCGGAGCCCCGAATCACCACCAACAGTGCTAAAAGAATGGAGGCGTACTTACGAGCCGCTAGCATCCCGGGGTACCTGACCTGTCTTGGACCCTTATAAATTCGCCTCAAAAGGTTCCAGCACATGTTGTTCAGTTTAAGGGTGACTACTTAGTCCTTGTTTTCAGGAACAAAAAATTTTTCTATCTGTCCACGCGGCTCAACGATTAGACCCTTTCTGATTTCTTTTATTTCATAAAATATATCGATAAGAAGAATACGGCGCGTTGTGGGGGAAAAATTCTGTAACACGTGACTCCCTTTCTTCCTCAACACCTCCTGAAACTGCCTCCTTTGGCAAGACCTCCCTTTCCCCATTCCCAATCCTACCTACATCCTATCTTTCTAAATCCTCCGAAACTCCTATCACTTTTCAACAGTGTTCCGGGCGAATTCCCTCGAAAACCTATCGTCGACCGAGGGGGGGGGGGGCGACAGTGGAACGGGAAAAACTGCGAAAAGCCAAGGCAAAAACATTTTTCTCTAAAGCAAATGCGACTACCTGCCCCTTCGTCACCCTACCGACCAACTACGCCTCTCCCCCCTCATTTCACCGAGGATACCCAACGTACGACGTGCCCTGACAAATAATGGGCAAACTCATTCTCCTCACCTTTTACAAGCTTAAAAAAGGCTCGGATAGCCAGAGCGGTAGCAAGGTTTTCGCGAATCTTGGAGACTGACAAAAAGACTGCGGGAGTTGGGCGTGCAAGAAGTTACTGAGTGTTGACCATGAGAATTCCCCAGCTTGAAACGTGTTATCAGTATTTATTGGTGAATTCGAAATCTATTGACTCTTTTAGGTGGTGAACATTTTGACGTCAGCCTTGATGACTACCTCTTCATCAAAAATCAACTTCACTGCCGTCGTCAACATGCTCATTCCTCTATTACTCGATCCTAAAAGGAGAGTTAGGTGAGTTCCGGATATGCTTGGAAAACTCGAACCACCCCCAGTGGGAGTTAAGTTTCAGACTACAAAACCCATAGTCATAGAAAAATTGCTCCGAACAAAACACAACTTGAGCGAGAAGGGGACTAAATAAAAAAATTTACGATCACGGCGAAACCTCCTGATCCCAGCAGATTTTTCTTTTCAGGGTTCCTCGCAGCAGAATCTGATATTTTTCACTTACATAGGTAGATCTCCATGATCCTCTTTCCTCATATGTAGATTTTGCTGCGAGCCCGCCTACTAGCAAGACTCGCAGGGAGGAGGTGCTTCAACAAGCTGTATAACTGCCAAAAGCTCTTTGTCAAAATGGTTGAAAACTGCCCTTTGTCGACCACAGCGCGTCTGAAAAGGCTCTTCGGTTCAAGTGGAACCGGAGTTGAGCAAAGCTCAGCGGTTAACTTTGTGGCTCCCAATGCTACCGGTACGATGCCCCTCTGACTCGGTGGTTTTGACTTTTCTAAGGTCTGCAAAATTCTACGAAATGAGGGAATGGGACCAAAAAGCTACAGGTGCACAACCTCTGGCCAAATGGCTACTCTTCAGGCCGCGGTTGGTTGCATATGGTCGAAGAAACCTTTAGAGAGCGGACCTATTGTAACAGTCCGTAAAAGTAGACGACCTGCTCAGGAAAGTAGGCTCTACCCTTACCTGTGCTCCGCAGGATCAATGCGGAACTTCTCTTATATTTTGGTTCCCTGCTGGGCGTTAGACGCTGGGGCGTGTTTGGGAACTGGCACCACTTCGCTCACGTCCAGCTGCTCAGGCGAGG